GATAATAAAGGTGAGGATAAATTTATAATAAAAGATCAAAGATCAAACGAGTGAATAAACAGACTGAAGTAATCTAAGATGAACGAAATTTGGATTTTTATTCGATGGAGTGACATAAATACTATCGTGACACTTTATAATCTGCGAATGTTAATTCTACGAAGCGTGCGAGCAAGTATAATCAAACATGCATTGTACGAGCAATTTCGTTGGATCATGAAAGATCCAAGTTATGTGTATTATGCGCTTATGCAATATCACGTAACACCTTCGCTCCGAGTTTACACGGGATGAATGAAATGATTGCACGACAGAAGCGTCCTGAAAATTCGAGTGAACGCACACACGTTCTACGTACGTATTCATGTGTATTCTGACATAGTTTGAAATTTCCCTTGGCTTGATCCCTTGGTTTTTTTACGAAAGGCTTTTAAAATACGGCATTACCTTTGAACTAGCCATTACACGTTACGTACACACGCCCGTAAATACAGAGTAAACATTTGCACTTTGATACACATAAATGGAACGTCGTGGAAAAATATTTGCACAGCCGATGAATACCGGCGTTACTTGAATTTGGAGCAGCGGCGACTACACAGGGAACGGCTAGCGAAAATTTCTTTACGCGCTAGATTAATCGACAAGTGGCCGTAGTTCAATTGCGGCCTGTGGATCAGTAATTACATAACTTCCGGTGTAGGCTTTGAAGGACGAGTTGAACTGGCGCGACATTGACCGCTCAATCGCTTAATACGCTTGTCGGGCTTCTTAAGAAGAATAGAAATAAATGAGGGTCATGACCCGTATTGAGCAAGAGTAATGGAAGAGATCTCGCGATTCTTCCGGCCTTCAATTCCAACTATTTCACAGGTTATCCATTTGTAAACGCTGATTGCTCGCGCGCTCATTAAAGCAGAAGATTGGTTCCTTCGGTGCGGAACGTATACTCGTATGATTCGATTAGCAAATTATTCAAATATCACGTGAAATTATATTATATTTTTCTCTCCGTTGTATTATATTGTTATTGTGCAAATTATTCGCGACTCATTATTTAGACTTAGAATCGACTACTCCAATGATGCAACGCGTTCGGCTTCGTTGAAAATGTTAAAAGATACGGTCGATATCACACGAATATTTATAAATCAAACATATACAAACAGTAGGATAAAAAGGTCTCGATAAACATTGCCACATCATCTGTGAAAAGAGCACAAAACTGAGGTATCAGTAACGCTGGCGAAGGTATCTGCAAAGAATGGCAATTGCATTTCCTCGCGTTTAACAAGCGTAATATCCGAGGCGGCTATTATTTCTGTGCCCGTGTAAAGCCGAGTCCCCTCCGACGAGAAGGTCAAAAGTCAGGGGAAAAGAAGCAGGAAGGAGAGGAAAAGATAGGCAAAGCGATTGATAGTGAATGACAAGCTAATATCGAGGATGGCAAGGTGACCGAAAGGACTGAATCAGACGCGATATATTGCAATAGAGCCGATGTTTCCGCCAAACTCACCTTCCGCGGAAGGTTGTACGTTTGCCTATCCATTATCCGACCATGCTTCTGATTCCCTTGACCTCGAAAATCCCTCTGGAGACTCACAATCAGGTCGTGTGAATCCCCGTCGTTTTCCCTTTCCTCTCTCTCTCTCTTACTCAGCGTCTTATCGCACGTTGATTGCACCGCGCAGCTTCCAAACTCGTTCCAATCCCGTTACGCTTGCCACTTGTCGCGATACATTTGCCCGATGACGAATGTGTATACTTCCTAAGAATGTGCGTTCACAAAACAAATCACAACTGTATGAGAAGCACACGAAATACAATGCTCGCGGGTCAGCACGTATGAGCGGCAAGTAAATACATGGAAAAGAGAAGCAAAAGTAAGAGCGGAGGTGAAGAGAGGAGAAGCAAGAGGAACGATTAGATACAGAGAGCAATAAGAAATAAGAGAAACAAAAGAGTTAGAAACAAAGGAAAGAAGGAGAAAGGAATGATATACAGAAATGCATTGCTATATGTATGGATCGCGACGACCGGCGGTTGGTGAACGGTGCGCGTGTCTCATAGACGATGCTCGGTGTTAGTTGTTACCAGTTGAAAGAAACCTCGTTTATTACGGTAACGTTTCAATTACGTTGCAAGCGAAACGAACGAAACAAGTTGATCGAATCGCGTACAGCTTTTGTATACAAATTCAATACGTTTGTTCGCTGTGAAAAAATTATCGGAGATAATTCATTTCACGCGACGTGTCTGGATCTGTGAGCTAGTTAATTACGTCTACGACACTCTGACGTTCTAATCTACGTAAATTTACAAAACACATCGGCCGATAATTCATACGGCTAGCAGGCATCCAAGGTTCCGGATGAAACGCAATGTGCCTGTGACGTGCAGTAACCATGAACGGTTGTGTACGATGTCGGGCGAGCGCACACACACATATAAGGTCGCGCGCGCATTCACAAGCACACATGGGCGTAATACTATGTCGTGGACGAAATTTCTGTAAGGTGCCTTGGCCTTACCGTGTGTGAAATTACCGGCTAACTGACGGAGAACGGTCCCGCGGTGATTCGATTACATTCTATCAACGTTCCTCTTGCACCGGCCTGCACACTCGAGTGTGCCCACGCACTCGACCTCTCTATTTACGAAAAAATAAAAAAAAAAACGAACGTTACAGAGGAAGCGCGCGTTTCTTCGGCTCGACACTGAACGCCTTTCAGGCGCGGCGGAAGAAACTGACGGTGCGACACCGTCTGTTGATGGGCAAGCCACTAGCCTGGCTCGATACCGTCCTTTTCTCCTGCGCGCATGTGCCGCCGTCACACTTTAGCTTGTTTCTTACTCGGTTAGTAAAAACGGTACCTGCTTCTCGAGCACAGAAATTATTTAATACTGACACGAAATGTAATGAAGCAGTTTTATTTACATTGCATTACGACTAAGAATACTGAATTTTATTGTTAAATGAATAAGCAAACGTATTTGTATTCAAGCGGGCACGATATGATTTTATTTTGAAATAAAGGATCGTGAAACGTGTTTGATTAAAAAAAAAAAAAACATATTTCAAATAACAATTCGTTCAAGTTTGAATATTTCTATCATTTTTATTGAAAAGCGAAGAAGCGTGGGACTTGGTTGGTGAAGATTAAATATTCGAAATTATTTGAAATAAAATAAGCTGCTTATTTAATTTCACGGACTTTGCATTCAGATTCAGGCCACGATTAATCAGAATTAGAAGATCTCTGTGTATGAAGATGTCGCAGTTTTTTATGTGTCAATATGGTTTCATTTTCATATCATCAATATTGAATCAATATCAATATTTTGTATATTTAAAACGCGTTGGTAATCTATACGTTTCGGTATGTAAAATCTTCACAGTTGTTAATTTACGATGTTTTTATAATATTTCAACATATATTCCAGAAGATAATGAAATTATGATTCATAAGATATAAATATCTTTCTCGACGGAAAAAGCGAAGACAGCTATCTTTATGTGCGGATAAATCACATGTAAATAACCTGTCACTCTGATATACAGCTACTGTAACAAAAATAAAATAAGAACGTTTTGTATTAACCAAGCAGCTGGACAAAAGATCAAATGCTTACTAGTAATTTTTTCTTTTTTCACCAATAACATGCTCGGTATACATTTATTTTTCGTAGATAAAAAGTAAAATATTGCTTCCAGATTTAAAAACTAATTTTATAATAACACGAACGGAAAGTAAAATAATATTTGTAACTGTTGCTAGAGGGTCCCATTGAAATCGCAGGTTTCATCGATACGATTTCACTGACGTCAAAATTCACCAACACCAGAATTTGCCAACAACAACTTAACCGATATAATACATTTTTCCCGAATTGATATAATGCGTAACTGCAAGTAAGTCAGAAGAAGTAAATTCAAAAGTCAATGGAGATAATATTGTTTAATAAAATACACATTTATTGTTTGATAAAATACACATTTATTTGTAAATTTGTCAGAAATAAAAATATAGATTTTAAAAATAATTCAACAGAAATGTATATTGACACGTATATATAATATTTACTTGTATATGTGCATTATTATACAAAATAAAATATAATTAAAATTATAACAAATAAATATTATGTACATGTGGTAATATATTCTCTGTTGAATTATTTTTATTAGCATTTCATTATTAGCTTTCATTATGAATTACAGATGTTGATAAAGTTAACATTTAAGTTATACTAATTTTATTCAATGACAAACGTAAAAATTTCTAAAGTTTTGTAACTGGTACTCTCATTTCACTTAAATAGAAATATCGTTTTTTGAGAGATTGGGAAATCTTGTGCTTTCTAATTTTTTAATGTACTATAAAATTCTGTGCTCCAATTTTGTACCAAAATA